AGGACGAAACTACAAGGGGCGTCTCCACCTCAGTCAACCATCAGGACAAAATGGGAGACATTGAGCAATATCCCCAAGGAAACGTGAGTGGAAGAACACTGGAACTATATGGAAGGGACGTGGAAGGGAACCTGCATAACCGTGTTAGGTAGGAAGAAGAAGAGGCAAGACAATGAATGGATATAGATGGACACACGGGAGCTGATAGAGAGGGTAGAGGAAGAAGGAGAAGCAGAAGATGAACAAGTGCAGTGCAGTGTAGTGTAATGTAGAGATGAATAACGAAGAGAGGAAGTGAACACAACCTATAGAACACTACACTGGACGAAGAAGTGAAGAAGAGTGCGCGCAGAAACAAAGACACTTCTACGACACACTGGCAAGTCAAGCAGAACAGGCTGCAGATAAGGGGACCTCACAACATTACATCGAGTAACCAGGTAACTGTCAGGAAGGAGAGAGATCAACACAGCGTGGATGAAACCAATGGGCGATGGTGAATGAAGCCTAGTTATCAGAGAGAGAGAGAGAGAGAGAGAGAGAGATGGGGGGAGAGGAGAAACAAAGGAAACGACGGGCTGATCACTTCAAAAAACTCTTGAATCGACCACCACCGCCATCTGCAAGTCGTTGAGTAACACCACATGCAGCGGCAGAACTTTGATTGAACATAGGCTCTCCAAGAATAGGAGAAGTCCCGAATGTCGTAAAATTGCTGAAATCCGGCAAAGTAGGAGGACCAGATGGAATTCCGTCAGAAGCACTGATAACGGACGCAGGGACAATAGCGTACACGCTTACACCTCTATTGCAGAAGATCTGGAAGGAGGTAAGGAAGCAGGAACGGAAAGGTACCTGCCGGTTGATTGGAAGAAGGGCTACCTTGTCAAACTTCCAAAGGATGGAGACCTAAGCCTTTGCGAGAACTGACGTGGAATCATGCTGCTGTCCACCTCAAGCAAAATATTATGCCACATCATCCTGGAGAAACTGAAGGATGCACTGGATTCAGAATTACGACCAAAACAGGCAGGCTGGTTGGCTTGCTTAAGGAAGAGCAAATCATGTGTGGATCAAATTGCAGCACTGTGCAACGCATCATCATGGAACTGAATACAGAACGGCAGTTTATTCTGTGCCTCAACTTCATCAACTTTGAAACGGTCTTTGGCAGCGTCGACCGGGAAGTAGTTTGCCAGACAGTTGCTTCAACACTACGGAGCTTCACAAAACCTAATTAACCTCATTTGACGCCTGAATGACGATGTCGAATGCCAAGTGATCCACAATGGAAAGCTCAGTGACGCCTCTGAAGTGAAGACTGGGGTAAGACAAGGCTATCACCTACTATCGCCGATGATCTAGCTGATTATGGTCGACCGGGCCATGCAGCAAACCGTGAAAAGCGAGAGGAGGGACATATGCTGGACCGATGGGAAGACATCAGAAGAGGATTTGGATTTAGCCCATGATGATGACTTATGTCTAGTGTCGCAAAAAACTATAGGACCTACAGGCGGAAACTGACAAGTTGACAGAGGGGCGGCGAAGCGGGACTTCCAATGAACGTAGAGAAGACGAGGTGATAAGGATAATCAACAAGCAACAACGAACACCAACCACAATGAAAGGGAGAAACCTAGAAGAAGTAGTCTCTTTTACCCACCCAGGCAGCATCTTTTCAACTGCAGGCAGCGGCACAAAGAGAATGTCTAAGCCAGGATCGGTAGAGCAAGACAGGCTTTCACTAACCCGAAATCCGTGTGGAGATCTACTGCACTGCACTCTCCACAAAGCGTGAACAAGTTTCGGATTTCTAACACCAATGTCAAGTCAGTGCTGCTGTATGATGGTTGAGAGACTTGGCGCTTCACGAAAAGCATTTCCAACAAAATACAGACATACCGCCTACGCTCACTCCATGCTGTCACTGAAGATCAGATAGCCAGAGTAGTGGGAATAAGCAACAAGGAACTCTGCGAACCAACCAACCAAGGACCTATTACCTAACAAATATGCAGTAGGAAAAAGTGGAGGTGGATAGGGCACACACTGAGAAGGCCAACTGCGGACATCACTCGCCAGGCTTTGGAGTGGAATCCAAATGGGAAACAACGAGTTGGGCGTCCCAGCTGAGGGTGACATGGAGGGTATCATGTGAGGAAGAAATGAAAGGTTATGAGCAGCCGTGGAGCCAGGCTGAGAAGACCGCAGAGAACAGAGTGCAATGAAGGCGCGCTACTGAAGCCCTATGTCCCACCGCTAATCCAAGGGGAAAATAATAATTATGAAGTTCATCATCACTAGGGACCCAATTGCGTAGATTTCGCGTTTGACAAGACCGCCACAGGGTAGAACCACGACTCGACCCTACATCCTGAGTCAACAGGTGGCTTTCAAGCACCTGAGGCCCAGTGATGTGATCACGTGATGCCCAGAGCCCGAAGCTGAAACTTGTTTCGACTTGCTGGTGCATATGGTTTCACTTAGGATGGAAGTTTCGTGTTTGCCTACATTCTGTCAGTCTTCGATAGCTACTCCGTCCGATGACTAGCCACTATGATGTATGATTCCGGCTAATTTTGTTCGACTGGAGTATTGCGAACTGCAAACTCCAGCTCTTTAAAGAGGATTGCAAGATTGTCCACCGGGAACTCCTTATTTGCCAGGATACATTCCTAGTGATAAGCAATGTAGTTGATATTAAACCACACACCTGATTTCCTGTTTTCGGCTGTCCTCAATTTTCAAGCAAGGTTAAAGAGGGGTTTCTGTGAAATCATCCATTCTACTACACATGTGGTTCATGAATTCGAGATAAGAAAGACGGAAGCATAGAAAAATTAGAATGTTCACGAGGCCTAATCCTTGAAAGATCCTGTCTAGGAACAAGTGTCCATGATCCTTTCCTAAGAACCTTTCAAGTTCCAAGCTTTTTCAAAAATTGCTGTTTGATAAAACTTAGTTTCTCTTTGTTAGCCGACAGGTGAGACATTGACAATTCACCCTTATATTGGTCGAAGAAAAAAGTCGTAATCTTGAAGGTTTTGGTTACCCAAATTTAGCTGGTAGTGAAAGTGGTTGCCTAATTGCTGCGATTGGCCTGAGTCTGCAAGGCTAATGAGATCATATGCTACAGAATCTCGTTGTTTTTCTTAAGCCATCGGCTATTCGAAGTGCCAAGATCCTAAGGTACAGTATTAGCCTATGTCTTTCCCGTATTTCGTGGCCATACATTATCTTTCTGTTATTTAGTTAATCGCTCTCACCCACGTCAGAGAATTGACAAGATCATCAAAAACATTTTCAGTGGGCCAACTGTAGAAACTAAAGTATACCTTTTTCTTAAGGCATTTGTCATGTTAACCTAAGTAGTATTCGGTGGTACTTAGCACGGTTTCAGTAGGTGTGAATCCTGCACCCCATATCTAGTGTTAAGTGGATGGCGTATTAGGACCTCATAGTCCCTGCTAATGTGATCTTCCTGGATTTAACCAGGGCCTTTGAGACAGTCTCACACACCGTTCTCATTCACAAAATATCAAGGGTGAGCACAAACGGTCAAATTCGCCTCTGGCTGCATGACTATTTAAACAGAAGAGGATTCTGCCCAGAAGTCAACAGGGTTCACTTGGCTTGAAAAGCATCATCATCTGGTGTACCGCAAAGTGTGATTCTGGATCCTCCGCTGTTCCTTCTTTTTGTGAATGACCTCCCACAGAGTTTCAGCTCCACGACTCTGCATACGCTGACGACGTCAAGTTATGAAGAGCTGTGATATCCGAGACAGAATCAAGTGCACTACGAAGTGTTCCTAATTTTCCCGGAGAGTGGGTGAATAATAACCAACTAGCACCTACCCTGGATAAATGCCAACCTGGGACCAATACCAACTGACAAGCTAGACACCTGCGTTAAAAGCCACAGGGGGCCAGACTGATAAACCCAGAGCTTCACTATAGTCATTGTTGGTTACGTGCCAACAAGATACTAAGTAACTGAAGTCATTTGAACAACCGAATCTTACTTGACAGTCGCTATGACTACCGCTGTGCTAACGCAAGTAGGATCGTCAACAAAATGAAGAAAACCCGTGTGAGTTCACACTATTTCTATCTTTTGATTTCGCTGGAGATCTTTTTTCTTTTTTGCCTGCGTTTTGCAACCACACTGAGTAACTGACTGGTGGCACAAAACTTCAGGAACCCATCTATACCACAGTCCGTGGACAAAGCATGAAACTCCATCAGGTTAACCAGAGCTACTGTAGGCTAGTGGGTAGACCTACTACATCATAATCGACCAAAGACCTGGAACCAGTCCTGGAGACCAAGGTTAGGTCAGGTAGTTTACACCAGCTGGTCAAAAGATATTGGATATTAGGAAGGTAGAGCTTTTAGACCTTAGTGTTCAATTACTGTTACTATACCATAGTCAGTGGATAAATGGTAGCCAAGTTGGCTTTGCAGATTCGGTTAGTTAAACCCTTTTCCGGTCTGAAAAGAGATGTAAAGAAGACTATGCATTGACCTTTGAATTGTAGGCGTTTGTCATTGTGTAAGTGTGGCTTGTTTGAAAGGTTTGTCAAGTTGTCTTCAAGGATGTTTCGTTCCTTTTAATTCAATACTTAAGGAACTACACTAATTGTGGTGCGTATATGGATTTTACGGTAGAAATTAGGATATATTTAGCAACCATTTTTGGACAGTTGAAGTTACCGAGAATCAGACTTACTGCGGTCATTCCTCATTAGCAAGCACAATCAAGCTTGGCGTGACTTCGAGCACACCTCTAAGCAGTGGGTTTAAATCCAGACATAAAGTAATCGTCAATCCTGAACCGGACCTGTTCACTTGCTTCAATCTTCGACTTTCGGAATCCTGAGCAGCCAGGTAGTAACATTGGTTCTGAAGAGATTTGTGAATTATTTCCTACGGACAATAGCTGCATCTTGTTGATCTGTTGCTCTGTAGTTGTTTTTCTACAGTTGTGAATTTACTATGAAGTCACTTAGAAACTCGTTGGAGTATACAGCAGTAAGAAGTAGATACAACTCATTTCTTCTAGTGTTTATATGTTGGTTAAAACAAGTGTATTAGTGCACATCTGTTTCCGAGTCCTGCTCAAAAACCCCACACTGAAAAACCAAGCATTTGAGAGTGAATTTACCACATCTCTGTCCTCCCCTAGTATTTGAGACAAACGCTCTCCGACGCTCGACTACAGCTGTATCTCATGACCTAAAAGCAACACAACCCTTTGGGTCTCATGTGTGCCTTACGAAAATGAATGCAGTCGATTTAAATCGCCACTAAAAGCCATTCGACATCTTTTAGCGTTCTGAGGCCTGTGATTAAGGTGTTTGTGAGTTATGTATGTCAAGTGTTCACCAAAGTTGTGTACACGTTGTCACTTAACTTCAGCATAGTTCTTCCTTTCGTCAAACTGGTCGAACTTCAAAGATATGTCAGATGTGGAGTATATACATATCGATGCCAACAGGATGCAATCTTCTCAATATTAAGCACAAATTTTGGATTGCGTTTCTCACCAATTTTTCACTTCAGGTCTGGTTTGTGTCGATATTATTTGGAAATAGGGAGTAAAGTTTTTGAACTCACTGATCTCTTCACTTACTCGGGAGTTCGATTAGCTGTGGTTAGTTAGCAACTGAAGAAATCCTCACATTGAAAAGGCCAAATTGTGTAACCTATGGTGCATGTGAGATGTTGAGTTGCTTACTATGGGTTGTGTTCGCGCAGCTGGTCCTGCCCTATTGGTTTTGTAAAAGGCCATTGGTTATAAATGACGCAAGTTTTGAAGTTTGTTCATTCGTGTTGTCTGTGTAGTGGGACCACCACGTTAGTAGTACAGAGCTCACACGTAGCCTTAGGAGCCATGTCAGTCAATTAGGTTATAGACCTTTATTGACTCGGGTGATTGAGATATGTATATGCATGTCGTTACCGTCAACCATACCTCATGATGTTAGCTAATTTACTTTAAGGCTGTCAAAGAAGGCCATGCGACTGAAATGTTCAGGGAACGTAGACTTTGCAGTGGTGGTCCACTTCATAACAAGTTGATGTTCACCGACCAGGTTATATGTCTCGTAGTCGATCTCTGTGCTGCAGATACATCCAGAAATCATCTTCATCTTAATCACCATATGGCATCTTGTTTTACCCATCTTTTCATGGCTCCCTATGGATTTTGGTTACTCTCTTCTACTTCACAATCTTTCATCTTGAGTTCCCGTCTTTTGATGTGTGGTGGGCCAGCTTTAACTATGAAGTAGTAATGCCCAACTAATCAATGGACTTAAAATATTTCAAAATACCTAGTTGGTACGTTTACCAGAAATATTGTATTTCGAAGTCACGTACACATTGCAAATACTCTGCACTCAGAGTTGCACGAAAACTCTTTTCATTCTGTAAATTTTAAATCTCACTAATCGATTCGAGCCAGTCATTATGACTACTCACGCTACTACGTGCAAAAGTGAAGTCTATGAAATCTTGGTCCGATGTAGCTTGGGACAAATGTTTGGCCTAGTATTTATCTTGTCAAGTTTTTGACGAGTTATTCCTTACGATTTGATTTGGTGTTATTTTCGTAAACATTAAGTTAGTCAGACTTTTCCTAATACTTGGTTCTCAACTTTTTTGGTTAGCACTGAAAATATTGCTACCGGGACATTCCTAAGGTTAACATAAAGAATATTGTACCAACGCGGGAATCCTTACGTTCGTTCCCTAATCACTGGGACATCATTATGCAGGTCGTTACGATTGTGAAGGTTGCAAAACTCTACTCCAGTAAAGTATTCAAGCACTAGAGAATGATTTCATTGTTGAATCTTTTCTAACCGTTGGTCCTGGTGATCATACTATGTTGTTTGACACCTGTATATACTATAAAGACCATAGGATTATGGTTGACTGCAACAACAAAACATACCTCGTACTCTTTAGTAAGATGTCTGTTCCTAGATGGGAACCACTAGCATTCATTTGTGGACCGGGGTTACTTCAAGTTTCCCAATTATGAATCTTACAATCAGCTCTTTTCAACAGTGATCAAACACCAGTTTACAATGAGTCTTCTCATTTACCCGAGTGAAACGTGAATTAACTTGGGAATATAACCTATAAGTAGGTTTGAAATATCGTATTTTTTGTCAGTTGTCTTTGTCGGTTCATGCGAATAGTAAGTTAACAGTTAATTTTAATTGTTTGAATGCGGCAGCACTGTATAGGTACAAGTGAACTAAGATTTCAAGACGTTTAAAAAAACTAGTCGAAACAATTGTATTACGTGGAGTTCAACTCCTACTAGGAAAACTTGACTCAACCAAGCCAGCATTATCTCAATTACGTTTTGCCAAGGAACACTGTTGATTACAGCTTCCATTAAACTCCTCAGGGGCTGTCAGAAAATTTCAACAAAGGTTTGTGTCGGCCTAAAACCCGTTACTGGTGCATGAAGCTAAAGAAAGAGATGAGAATTTGATTACGCACCCGGGTAGAGTCAATGTATGGTACGCACTTCAAGTTACTTGACGGGAGATTAGGTTAAACTTATGTGAATCCTGGTCAATATTTGGCCGGATTGTTTCACAAATATTAGGTCTGGAGTGAAAAGTTAGTGCGGTCTCGAGCTTCTGTCTGTGACGCAACAGTGCAAAAAATGACTCATGATTGCTGAATTACAAATTACGTTTCCCACACGCCCAGTGGTGACCCCGAGATTGAAAGATGAATTGCCTAGACTGGCCAGTTCCTGTCGTGTTTATCGGTTTGACTCCTGTGGAAGCATTTATGTTGGCGCTGTTCTAAGAAATTGAATTTCCCATGCTTTCAAACGCCTCCCAGCGTGGTTAAGCAAAAGTGTGATCAAGACTATTAACCGATGAATATTAGCACACTTAGTTCACATGAACCGTCTGGCGGATATGAATAGGTCGTTTTGATTATTTACCAGGTTCCCACCAAGTTGCCAACAGGTACCCGCCTCCGAATCCTTAAGACTGCAGAAACGGTTACAATCAGGACTAAACAATCCGAGTTTTGTACAGAAAAAGCTGGTGTTGCCCTTAGTTTCCCTAATTTCATTCGGGATTAACAAGTTCCTAAATATTTTCACCTATATAACCTGGTTTTCAACTTCCACATTGTAGATATTCCCTCATTCACATAATGTGAAATAACTTTGTCATATTTTCTTAGCCTATTTTGTTCCCCAACATGAGTAACATTTTACCAAGCTAGTATTCCGTAAATTACCTAACTCTGTTTATTACATCCTACTTTCATTTACACTCATTGTTTTCATTAAACTATCTTTGTTCGTCCGATTTACATTCAGACCGCTACATTTCATTTTCCCTTCTGCTTATGATAGACTTCACTTGTATAGTTTTCATCATCGAAATTAATTTGATTCGTTTTCACTGATAGTGTTGCGTAAGCCGTGTAATCGTTAGTGCAATCAATTATTTTGAACTGAATTCCAGTAATAATTGGTTTTAATATTATCGATCCCGAAAAACCCTAAATCTATAATATTAACAAACTTATGAAACTTCACTATTGTTGACTCAAAATGGCATGTTATGCTGGCAGGAAATGGACTTTTCGCCAAGACTAATGGATGTTTCGAGATGCTTCCATCTTTACTCATTTAGTCTTCAGTTGGAGCATAGAGTTCACAACCATTTTTGACATATTCAGCGACTGGTAAGCCTGCATAAGAACAGATAAGCGCAATCACTTGGTCACAAAGAATAATCTTAAGTAATCTATCAAGTTAATTCTCAGGCGGGTATATTATAAAAATCTACTAAAGGAATTCTCTACTGTAAACTTAAAATTACACAGTATAGATATGTAACTGTTGGACATGAAGGCCCGACCGATAGCAGCTACCTTGACGTGGTGATCGGGCTTGCGTATCACAATGACCCAACCAGCTATGCTGGTGGAGCACTTGTTCTTTCGAGGTCCTACCATACCGGAAGGGTCTGTAGGATAGTGGTTAGACGAAAAGCAGTTACCGTTGTGGTGTAAATTACCACACTATGACAGGGATCTGAAGGCGAAGTCACACTGCTGCTAGTTGGATGGGGTGTGACAGCAGTAAGGTGTTTCCCTTGGATGACCAGTGCCATGCTGATGCTGCCTTCTCAATGGAAGGCCTGGGGGGGGAGTGGGGTGGATTAGAAGAGATTGACCACAAAAATAACACACTCCACCATGCCCCACGGTCTGCCGGGCCGGCGATGTTGGTTCGTTTGTCGTTTCTTTTCGACCATCTGGCCCCAAAATAACAAAAGCTCAAAACAACCATACTCAAAAGGTTTCGTTTTGACAGGCCTCAAGTAGATGTCCGATGGGCTCTACGGTCACACAAATCTCTTTCAGGTACCTTAAGAAGAAATAGCCTCCCACGGTGTGGGCAGATGGGAAGTGTCAACCGCCCTCAAAACTCGATCAGCACTCAAGTTTCCTCAGACTGCTATTCACCTCTCCCATCATTGCCTTCTAATCTTCCTTCACGTTTCTCAACTGACGATACTACATCATCTTCAATTCCTCCTAGCTCTGCAGCCTCCGACAACGATCTGGATCCCCAGAACAGCGTCCTTGGTCTCCTTAAACTATGCTCCAAATTAGACATTGGGGCCTTCAATGTCCATACCCTCCGTCAAACTGATCAACAAGCTTCAATGGCCAAGACTCTAGCAACTCGGGCCATGGATGTGTGCTGTGTTCGTGAGACTTGCATACGGGATCCAAGTGCGGTTGTTCACTTAGCCTCTCCCTTTCAATCTGATGAATCTGCAAAATTCACCCTTCGAGTTTCTGGAGATTCAACGGCTAGCTCTCACGGTCTTTCAGGTGTAGGGATAGCATTAAGCACTAGGGCAGAAAGCTCACTACTAGACTGGATCCCAGTTGATGGTCGCCTCTGAGCTGTCCGGCTGAACGGCACAGTGAGAACTAAAAGTAGTGAAACTCGTTGTTGTCTCTTTGTAATCTCTGCTTACGCATCCACTGACTGCATCTCGGATGAAGTGAAGGACGAGTTCTACCGAAAACTGTCTCTAGCCTCTTTTTGAAAACCAAACGTTCAGACGCGGTGGTTGTTGGAGGTGACTTAAATGCACAGTTGGGTAGACTGAGTGAGGCAGAAAGGCACTTAGGTGGCACTTTCGGAGTCCCGGCTGAACGTACAGATAACGGTGATCGCCTACTACAACTATGCTCAGATAACCGCCTATTTTTAGCTAGCACAAATTTCAGACATTAAGAATGACACTGTCTGACGTGGCGTCCACTGAGCTCAGCTGAGTGATGGACACAGATAGACCACATTGCTATTAGTCATTGCTGGAGAGGATCGGTGGAAGACTGCCGTTCCTTCTGGATTACGTGTTTAGATAGCGATCACGCATTGGTCCTAGCACGTATATGCCTGCGCTTCAATGGACGTATGAAAAATTTGGTTAGGCAGTTATCGGGACAGAAGACTGCCACTCATCCAGAAAAAGCTTGGTACCATCTCCAGTCTGCTGTAAAAGCAGCGCTGACGGAGACTGTAGCCGACTCCGAAATAGTGGCTAAAAAGAGCCAGTGGATATCAACAGCTTCTTCCGAACTAATGGATGCACGTGAATGCATCCTGTAGGCTCTGAGTACAATGAAGAGCGGGCACAGCTTAAAAGTATGCGTATGGAGGCATCCCTCTCGTCACCTGACTATACAGAGGTTGACCTAATCGCAGGAGAATTTTCCTTAAACCCTAGAATAGGCAGATGACATAGTCCTGTTAGGTAAAGACGCTGACAAGATGCAGAGTCTTCTGAACACTTTGAGTTGCGATTTGAAAATGTTCGGGTGCGTTTCTCGTCACTCAAGTGCAAATTGTTGCTCCAGGACTGGTCTTCTAAGGTAACCCGACTAACAACAGAAAATGTAGTAGTTGATTGTGTCGACCACTCCACTTACCTGGGAAGTAAGATCAAGCCAGGTGTCTCAGAGGCCGATGAAATCTCTTCACGGATACAAAAGGCTTGGTTGGCTTTTGCCAAGTGTGGTGCCGCGCGATATCTAGTTATCTATTAAGGGTCGAGTGTACTGTGTTGCAGTTCGCTCTGTTCTACTGTATGGCTGTGAACCATGGCCATTGGAGGTGGAAGATATGAGAAGGCTGGCTTCAGGTGTTTGGTCACGGTTGTCTTTGTAGTATAGACCGTATCCCGTGGTGTCGCCACGTGAGTAACACAGAAGTCAGGCGTAGAGTTTTAGGGAGAAGAGGTAAATCAGTTGACACGGTTGTGAACCTCCATTGACTGAGATGGTTGGGTCACATTTTACGTATGCCTAGTCGCCAATTGCCTCGTCACACAATGTTGGCCGAAGTGGATTCAGGCTGGAAAAAGGCTCGGGTTGGCCAGACTAAAACATGGCATCAATGTATAAAGTTGCTGGCCGTTGGTTTCAGCCATGTGGGGTGATGCAGACTGAGTGGTTGGGGTCGGCGGGACAAGAGAAACCAGTGGTTGGAGACTTTAGGTGATATGGCTCAGAACGGATGTCAGTGTCGCGGATGCATACACACATTCTCATCTTAACGCTATACGGAATCTCACAAATATCTCATTCTTCCTTTCTCTTTTCGTACTTTATATTTCTTTTGACTGAATTTTCTTTCCTTCATCCTCCACTTTACTGCCTTTTTACTTGATGCACTGATATGTGCTGTGGCAACTCGGACCTTTACGCAGTAATGCCTGGTCCTATGTTGATTTGGATGGACGGATGGATGGGTGGACCTGAAGGAGTTATTTGAGAATTTCGTTGTTCCCTCAAATGCCTTTTGAATTACAATGGAAGTTTTTTAAGGCGGTGAAACCTGTTTTATCTTAGCTTTGTACTAAAGCGTGGCAACTAGCTGATGCACTGCCATTGTAGATTACGCATTATTAAGTACAGTTGTATACTGGTTTTCCACAGATATATTTTACTGGTTCTGCAATAAGCAGTCAATATCCCCATAGTTTTCTTATTTTAGATGCCAGCTCCAAAGAGGTTACGTGAGTTGGTAAGAGACATACGATCTGCTCGAACGGCTGCTGAAGAACGCGCTATTGTAAACCGGGAATGTGCGTTAATAAGAGATAGTTTTCGGGAAGAAAATAACACTTACAGGTGTCGTAATGTGGCTAAATTGTTATATATTCACATGCTGGGATATCCTGCTCATTTCGGTCAGGTATAGTAATTCTATTGGAGTAATTTTTCCGAATATTTAATAAACTTCAATAATACTTTAATATGTAATATATTATTGATGTTATGGCACTACAGCCATTGTTTATACAACTTATCGAATTGATAAATATGTTTATAAGTGGTACTTGATTCGCTCTAATGCACTTAACCTATTACAGGCAGATTGCCTGTGAACTAGCGGTCATTTTCAGGTGGATTGACTGGTTGATGTTATAACTTGGCTATATATATATACAATGGACTAGCTATTTCTAGACTCTCCTAGAAGAACATTCTCTATTCATTAAATCGCTTCAACAAATCTGATATTTACACACATGATCACATGCCTTTTCTCTAAACTTTGAAGCACAGTGGTTGGTTGTGAAATGCCTCAGGGATTTAAGTTTTCTTTGGAGAATCGGGATAGTTTTGTTGCACACCATAACACTATCCCATCTGGTTTGTACGCGAGTAAAGCTTGAACACGTAGGATGTAATTCCATGCCAGCTTTGTTCACTATATTCAACAAACAAATCGAATATGGTAAGACGAAAAGCAATTACCGTTGTGGTGTAAATGACTATGCTATGATGAGGGTCTGAGGATAGGGTGACAGCAGTAAGGTGTTTCCCTTGGCTGACCAGCAGTGACACGGTGATGCTGCATTCTCAACGGAAGATGGGGAGTAAGAAAACGTCGTCTTCAAAAATAAAACACTTTACCTGCTCCATTGTCCTCCGAAACCGGAGGTATATATTCCCTCTATCCCACAGTTGAACACTCAAACCTCAAAACAACATCCCGCCAAAGACCACTTGCAACAGGCCTCAAGCAGATGTCTCATTGACTCTATGGTCACACAGATCGTTTTCTCTTTCAAGTGCTTTGAGAAGAAATAGTCTTTCAAAGTGTGGGCAGCTGGCAAATGTCAACTACACGCACGCTTTTAGTGGTACACAAGACCCAATCAAACACAACTTATCCCCCTCAACTCTGTCTCCTTCTTTGCCTTCACCTCCCGATACTAATACTAAGCTACTTACGCCTTCCCCAACCTCTCACTCTACAACCATTGTCAACGATCAAAGCCATCGATACTTCATTCCTAGTCTCCTAAGACCTCGCCATCGACTTCATGTAGGAGCTTTCAACATTCTTACTCTATGCCAAACCAAACAGCAAGCATCACTCACAAAAACTATGGAATCTCTAGCCACGGATGTGTACTGTGTCTCTGAGACACGTATACAAGACCCGAGTGTGGCTATTAAATTGACATCATCTGACCAGTTCTGAGAATCTTCAAGATCCACCTTACGAATATCTGGAGATCCAGTGGGTAGTTGTCGTGGGTAAGCTGGTGTCGGCATAGCCTTAAGTTGTAGAGCAGATAGTGCGCTTCTCGACTGGATACCAGTTAACAGTCGTCTCTGTGTTGTTCGACCGAATGGACCTGTAAGGTCAAAGAGAGATCGTGCGACCAACCGATGCTTGTTTGTAATCTATGCCTGCGAACCCACTGATTGTAGTTCGGACTCTATGAAAAGCTGTTATTTTCGCTACATAGGATCAACTTTTTAGATGTATTCATAAGAGTAGTATAGATTAGCCAATCGAAAATGTATGCTGGGAGTACTGACAGAATCTCGTGTCTACGAACCACCAAGTGGTTGCCTGTTACAATTACTGACTTCAAGCGTAAGAGATACTGTCTCACATCGCGTCCACAAGAAGACTGTTTCCAGCTGACTCTGGAGAGAAGTCATCTTGTGACAACCATAGAAGATGTAGTTTGTCTAATACTATGTGCAAAATATTAGGCTCCACCAAATTGCTACTTGAGAACAACAAAATGTTGAAAAGCATATAGGTTTGAGACATAGCTGGACGAGGGAGGATCGACCATAGTTTTACCCTCCGACAGGTTCTGGAACATAGGCATACCTATCGACCAGTGGCCTACACCTGCCATATTTCTTGACCTGAAGGGGTCATTTAACTCTGTCAATCGTGAGTTCTTATGGTGGTATCTATTGGTGAATTGAGCACCCAAGAAGTATATAACGCTAATCAGAGCTCTTCATTCGAACTCACGCAACCGTGTAAGAGCTTATTGAGAGTTTTCGTGTGAATTGGTGGTAACTTGTGGTGTCCGCCTGAGATTGGCCCACTCCCCTACCTGAAGGTCATCTGGTTGACTTGTAGTATTCAGACGATGTTGTCCTGTTAGGTGAAGACGCTGACGAAATGTTGGGTCTTGTGGATGCGTTGAACAGAAATCTGAGTATGTTTGGCGTGCGTCTCGCTGGCGCCTGACAAATGTAAGATGATTCTCCAGGACTGGTATGCTACAAACACTCCCAGTTTAGTGAGGGAGTGAAATGTGTCGACCACTTCACTTGCTCAGAGAGCTGCATCAGCTCGCCAAACCGGGTGGTTGCTGACAAAACTTCAGCTCGGATACAGAAGGCTCGTTCGGCATTTGCCAACTTGCGTCGACTGTGTCACTGGCGAGATAGCTGACGACTCTCCATCAAAGGACGAGTACACTGCACCGCATTTCGTTCTGTCCTGTTGAACGACTATGAGACGTGGTTGTTAAAAGCAGAAGACATGAAGCGATCACAGGGTTTCGATCACAGATGTCTTCGTAGCATTGCTCACATCTGATGGAATCACAGTGTGAAGAATGTTGTTGTGGGGCGAATGTTACAAGACAAGTTGATTGATGAAGTTGTGAACTTAAGTCGATTGGGATAGCCTGGACACGTACTGTGCATGCTGAGTCACCGCCTACCTCGACATGCCATGCTAGAGGGAGTTGGATTAGGTTAGAAGAGGGTTCAGGGTGTCTAGATCAAGACGTGGGATCAGTCGATGAAATCCCTAACTGTTGGCCTCAGTTGTGTGGGGCATTGTAGACTGTCTAATCAGGGTCTCCGAGATGAAAGGAATCAGTGGTTGAGGATTCTTGGGGATTATTGGTGACATGGCTGGAAATCGGTTACATTGGTGCAGATATATTAACTCCTTGACATCTTCTAAAACTTGGATATTTGCACTAACCTTCATCTTCAGATTATTTTTTCTCTCACACCACTTTATCTGCTTTGATATCAGTCTTTTTCTATCCACTTGTTCATTTTGTACTACTGTAAATTGTGGCAACTTGAGCCGATACACCTGTATGCGAGTTTCGACATTTATTTTGTCAGTCGGGATGTTTTTCTTGCTGTGTTCATTATCTTTGATCCAGATATATAAGCGCTTTATTTTCAGTTTCGTGGTCTCAAACCTAGTCTTTCTATTTCTATTTCTGGTCGTATTTAACTGTATCACATCGTAAATTTTCACTCGGTTGCAATACCACACTTTTATTTCGCCACTTAACTTTGAACGCTCTACGATTTTCCTGTGAAGCTATGGCATATTAGTCTTCGCATTCGGCTGTCAACTAGTGGATTGCGGAGTCTGTCCGTGCTGCACCTCCTGAGGTCTTGTAATCTGGTTGGCGTTATAAATCGTCACACGACAAGTATTGCTCTTTTTCTATTGTACGAACGCACACATGGTTACTTAGTTGCATTTCAACACTATTTATACGACTTAGTGACTTTGTTTTCCTGTTTTAATATAATGCACTCTATCACCAGCATGTTTGAAGAGTATTAACGATATCTCACTCAAATTATTTTCAGTATCATCAGAAGAACTTTATTCTATCTGGTTCGTAGTAGTTCTTGTATCCACTTTATACTTAGATTGTCGGGGGTAAGATGTATCGGTACTGTCATCAAAAATATTGTCACTGAAAATACAGAAATTTGTTCACAAGTTGGTGTTTTAAAGTGAGGACTTAATAAATAGCAAATCGTTCTTTTACCGCTTTCTGTCTGTAGCTTGAGTGTCTTAAACTGGTCGCTTCCTCACGTTTTACTGACAAAAGAGTTGGTTATCTCGGAGCAATGCTTCTACTTGATGAACGAACAGACGTACATTTATTGGTTACAAATTCGCTTAAGAAGTAAGTTGCATTTTAACTTTCCATTTATTACAGTCAACTTTGCTAATAAGTGTGTGGTATTGTTTTCATATTACTTCGCAACCGGAAGGTACTTCTTCCGAATGGACACGAATATCAATTCTAGGTTTACAGTTATGAATGTTCTATTCTGTTAGTGTAGTCTTTATACACGTGAAATTGTCGGTGCAATTTACAATGCCCACTTAGCTTTTATGTCCTGATTTAATTTACCAAAAATACTATCTGTTCTATCTTTGAATAAACAACCTCTGAACACGTACCACAGATTTGACAGATGCTTTTACCACATATTTCGACTGAATATTTGTTACCCATGACCAGTTTTTGAATGTTAGACTGGTGAGGTCATTGGTGCGCACTGCTGATGAGTTCCCTACTAAGATGAAACAGCTGTCCAATGCTTCTAGGTTTCCAATGTTCCTCCAACTGATGTCAGTCCATGATGAGTACCAACTTGAAATCAATAAGTCCCCACAAACCTCCAAATTGAATTTATGATGTATGAGTCAGTGACAGGTGCAGTTCAACATATCTGCAATCATCTTTCGATAGCTTATTTACTACCCAACGGCAGTTAAGATGGCATATTGATGCTACCTTCACAATCCTGACTTTGTTGTAGGAAAATGTAAAAGACAGCAAGACAAATAAATGCAAACTCTTCCAGAATTGACTATAATCACTAGTTGGACTTACATATTATTCAGCTTTTAGGCACTGAGTAGGATTTCAGATTGGTTCCCATTTGTGAACAGTTACAGTTGATATGAAATCGGAGAATTGTTGTAGACAGCCTCAAAGCTAGTTTCCAGTATATTTGAATACGTATTTATTTGAGACCCTATTGCAGCTCAGGTGGTATAGCATCTTGGTGGTCGATTGAGTTGTGAACCCCCAGGAACTTGGATGTAAATTGTCTATCTGGAATCCTCGATACTATAGGAATCAGTGATTGAAAACTATGTGAGATGGTTCAAATTCGGTCACAATGGCGCAGATGTATATGCATTTTGTCTATGGAGTTTTGAACATTTCCGTTAACCTTTGTCTATTGATTCTCTTTCTTCATACACTTTTGTCGATTATCATGTCATTGCTTCTTATCCTTTTCTTTGCATTCTGCTGTGAGTTGTGACAACTTGAACCAATGTACTTCCGTTTTGTGTTTTAAAGCGACTTGTCTGCTTGCCTATCTTTCAGGATCTGTGGCTCAGACTGTCAACTTACTGGTGCTTGACACTAGCTATATTTTTGTTCTAAATATGGCATTCAACTCTCGACCATGAGGTCTTATATCAATATCTCGATGCACTAATGTGCGGGGTTCTACGTTGATTTTGTCTGTTTGTCTGTCCTACTGAAAGGTCTATGTGGTAAACATATCACTGTACATACGGCTCTAATCTCAAACGCCATAGTTGTATTTTAATCTACGATGATCTTTCGGGTGAGGTGTATGTATCGAGTGGTATCCAACATGGATGTCCACTTTCTCCTCATTTTCATTTGATTTTACCACACGTTCTCATGAAGGTCTTTGTCTCTTCGTTAACCTTTAAAAAAACTGGTTTTGTCTTACAGGGTTCCTTAGTTGACTAGGTTATGCAGATGGTATGGTCCTGTTAAATGAAGGTGCTAGACCTTCATTTATACATAACAACGAGTCTTACTCGGCAAAAACCTTTGGTTATATTCGGCCTGCCGTAAAAATATCGGTGAATCGCTACAAGTTCATTCCAGCCAATTGATGTGAGAATACTCTTGTTATCTGACTAGGATGACGAGAAAAAACAGCTTAAATGTAATTTGACTGAAAGTCTTCGTAATAACCGCGAGAAGTGGTGATTGCGAAAGCTAAGTAGGTGGAGAAAACATCGTCAGTAGGTGATACTTGGCAACCATTCTCTCTCTTTTGAGAAACTGGTTAGAAGACAATAGTTAGCGAGACCATCATCAAAAAGTATGGGTCCCCGATAACCTGTTAGGACAGACAGCTGTAACTTTGGGACGAACACTTTAAAGAACATTTCAACTGACCTGCAGCTATGCTTCATTAGTTAAACATCCAGTCCGAATCTGAATGAAACGTAACTTTCCTGAAAGTTTAAAAGACTGTTTCACACTTGAAAAGATAACATGAAACATGACGTAATGGGTAACAACCAGACAATTTTTGAGAATAGTTTAACAAATTATTGAGTAGAGTAACGAGAGTACTAGGCACTGTAAAGGAATCAGAGTCCTATCAGACTGGTCTAGATCGCCAATCATTCCAATTTATGAGACAGGAAAGAAGTCTTCCTGCAGATCAGTTTGATTAACATCGTGCATGGTTATCCGTACATAGTTATCCGACACTGGCGTGGAGCTTTAGAAAAACTTGGGGAAACCGGGTAGGTTTTAGACCTGGGGAGGGATGTATTGATCATGTTGTCCTCCATGTACAGGTTTTGGGGTGTAGACTACCTGCAAAATTTATTGAGAGAAAAACGATTCTACTCGGCAAATCGAAGAGTGTTGTGGCAACGTCTGACTGTCAAGGCAGGACCAAGTAAGTGTGTCATGCTAGTCAAGAATGTTTTCTTCAACACGCACATCCATTTACCCGCTTTTAAAGAGTGTACATCTTTGGTGATAATCATGGGTGTTCCCCGCGAAGGATGTCCTTCCCAACCACTAGATATGTAGATATTTTTTACTCAACGTACCTCTGACTTCTCAGGGATTGGTTTACTCTCCTGATGCCTGGTTGACCAATGATTCTGACAAAGAGAGAAAACGTCAGATGTTGTGTCCATTGACCTCAACTCAGCGCTGAACACACATAGACCACATCAGCTATCGCTGAAGAAGGTCAGTGGAAGATACCTACTTCTCCTGGGACACTTGTTTTGACAGCGATCGCGCGTTGGTTCGTGCACTCGTGTCTAAACTGTCTTGAGAAAGATACAGCTGCCTTTCCGCAAAAAACTGGTTGGTCAGTTATCGGCACAGGACAGCACCATTCATCCTCTAGAAGACTAGTGCAACCTCCAGTTTGCAGTAAACATTGTTGAAGATTGTTGCTGACTTCCTGAAGGTGATTCGGAAGGGTTAGTGGAACCCAGTAACCTCTTTTGCATTAATGAATGCATGTGACCTCATTCCTGAGAGCTCCGTGGATAGGGAAAAGAAGGGGAAACTCCAAGAAGTCTACGCAATGACTGGGAGGGGTGGTGTGTAGCAAAGGCTAGAGAGATTGAATGGATGGCGGTGATGGGTAACAATAGAAAGTTATTTAGACTTATAAGGGAAACGGGAAAAAGTCAATGGTTAGTGGGATTATTGAGGACAAAGATAGGTCTGTCAGTCATTCGCAGGGGAGACGACTAGGAAACTTCAGGTGGCTTCCATCTAGTATCCCGTTGTGAAGTTGGATCCTGAATAGATCACTGAGAAGGGGCCTTCGGCTCTTGCAGAAGTTGAGAAGGTTGTAAGTTATCTTAAGCACTATTACTGGAGGTATTTAGAGACAGTGGTTGAGAATTATTGGTTAGTTTACTTAAAATGTCAGCATGTGAATGGGTTTGAGATACGATCCCTACTGGCTAGTTTCAATCCTTGATTGTTCCAGCCTTCAGGGAAGGAAAGGAATCCTCGTGTGATAACTGCAGCGAAATCAAACTGATGAATATAGTGTCTGAAATTCTAGGCTGTATAATTATTATAAGTGTAGGTTAAGGACAACATACATGTTTGACAAAGCCAGTTAGGTTTCAAACTTAGCTGTAGGTGTATTCAGCATATATATATATATATATATATATATATATATATATATATATATATATATATATATATTCGCCCATCGGCAGGTTTTAGAGGACAGGTACACTTAACGACTCCTGACATTAGCTGTATTTCTTAACCGGGATGTGGCCTTCGTCTCTGTTGTTCGTGACGTTCTATGGCAGTATTTCTTGTTGAAAGAGGTGCCGGGTGTGTACACCTACGCTCTTGGTGGTTTTGTATTTGAACATTCGTAGGCATGCTATCGTTTATACTTAGAATTAGGTGATTTATGCATGTCGATTGGTGTCCGCTAAGAATGTTCACTCTCTCCATTCTTATTCGACTTTATCATAGACGTGATTATGGAGATCTCCATCTTGTCGTGTGACTTCACAGGGGTTGGTCTTATTGCCTAAGAATTCTCAGTGTATGTATAGAGTACGCAGATGATGTATTTAATTAAGTGAAGACTGAGAAGATGCTGAGTCAACTGTACACCTTGAATGGGAGAATGTTTGAGAATTCATGGCATGCGTTTCTCACCACCCAAATGCACATTGTTGCTCCAGGATTGGTCCTAGCTGATACCTTGTCTAACAGTACGAAATGAAATGGTTGATTACACTGACCACTTCACATACTTGGGAGGTCAGATCAACTCTTATGGGTCAGTGATCGACGAAGTCTCAATACGAATACAAAAGGTTCAATTGGCTTTCATCAACTCTTGACATTTATGGCCTCACTGTGATATCCGATTTTCTTTTGAGGGTCGAGTGCACTGTGCTTCAATTCATTCTGTGCTACTATAGGACGTGAGAAAGCTTCATGTGTCCGACCACCATTGTCTTCGCATCATAGGCGATGTGTATGTCATGGTGTCAGCACATGAGGCTCAAAGTTTTAGGAAGAAGAGGAAAATCAGTCGATGGTGCTGTGAATATTCACTAACGGAGATGACTGGAGTATGTGTTGCGCATGTCTAGTCACCATGTGCCTTGTCTCGCAATGTTTGGGGAAGTAGATTCAAGTTGTAATTTTATCTGCTGATGTGAGTTCGGTAAGTTGAAATGGTACTCATACTGAGTCTCATGTTGATACTCATTGATTGAATATGTCTGCGATCTGAACAGCTGCGGAGTTAGTTTTAGGTGTAACTTACAGGACTGCTATCAGGTAGTGTAAAGCCAATCACACTAGATGGGGCTTATGAGCTGATATACGAACCTGGGTATACATTGATGAGGTACACTTCACTTCTTCATTTCCATGTGATCGCATTAGAGTACAAAACTGCAGTATGTCTACAACAAAGTGTTCAGCAAGACCAGATGTCGTTCCGTCGTAATTTGACTCTTTTCCGTACTCTGGCTCAGATATACATACTAGCTTGCAACACTAACCGTAATTTAGAGTAATTGACTGAGTCAGTAGGGAAATGTAGTGAAAATGTTTATCTGAACGGTGTCTCAAACAAATACACTACATAGATCTAGACTCTACTGGAAATTCCTTAATCGTACTAAAATATGGGGTCGTTTCTTGCTCATGGTGATTTATCAACCATCTTTGTCATGAAATCACTGATTAGAAGCATCTTTTCACTTGCAAATATTCTGGGGCTTTTCTACCTGAGGGTTCTCTAATCGACTCTGTACACATGTGATACTTTTGTTAACTGAGATTTATAAGATGTAAAGTATTTCTAAATAACGAGCTGAAATCGGGGAATATTAAATATATTCGCTTGTCGAAACTAACCAGTGTTCTAGGAATGGTCATCACGGATACAATGAAGTATGTTGACTATTTCGGTGGAAAATTTGTTTATGGTTCGTGGTAACTGCAAGATATTGACATAGTAACATAAAGCCTGTTTGATAGTTATTCTTCTGGATCATTTGTAGCATCAAAGAGACATTGGAGTGTTTAATTATGATCATAATTATAATGTGCAATTGACTCACTTCTAACCTCTATGAGAAGTAACTGTTGGAGAAAGCAGACACGAAAAGATCATGGGCATTTGATAACTATGTTTTACTTCTCATTCGTAGAAAGGTTGGCATGTGCACCTGCAGATTCTAAATCATTGTAAATTGATCAAATTTGCCCATGTGACTTTGTCCCTTTACACATGGTTCAATCGTAATTACCTATTTATTCCCCTTTCACTGCTATTCTACTTGTTCAATATTCCGACTCAAACAAAACAACAAGATTTACCTGATAAATACTGAGCTTATGTTTACTTATTTCGCTGCTTAGCAGCTATAAACAGCCTGAAATAAATACCGGATTAGTGTCGGATAAAATTTGAAACAAACTTTTGTCAGTATAAAGCAATAATGTGCAATGGAAAAGATATGCTGCATCTTTAAGTCTGAGACATTATATCTGAAAACTTACTGGTTAGTTGTTGTGTTTATTGTTTTGAGAACCATCATTTCATTAGGATCAGTCGCAGTATATGTTAGCTTAAAAAGGAATATCGAAGCAATAAGTATGCGAATAAACGAGTAATAACGTTAGATAATTGTTAGTTTGAAATTACCGATGTGCCACAGATATTGAGTTTCTGGGTAACAGCGGTCACATGGGAACAGCTTTGAAATATACCTTGCTGAAATAGACGTGCATAGACAATAATTTAGGGTAAGTAAATTTTTCAGTTCGCAAAGTTGGTTTGTCTGTGATAGATTCTAGTATTCCATGTTTAAGCTGCTTGGAAATTCTTAGTGCTTAAATAAAGCTCCTCAGTATCCCAGGTTGAGTAATGCTCCAGAAATATATAACTGGGAATAAATTTCGTGTCCACTCAGATTGGTTGAAATAAAAAGGATGGACACTCACTTTTTAGGACACTATTTTTCGAAGGTCGCACTCTTGAAACACATAAATGCTTTGAAATACATATACGTAACAATTATGATCACAACTGACCACCTATTTTATACTACTGCAATTTTCTAAGTAGAAAAAATCTATGTTGATATTGCCTTTATTTTGTTTTCATTTTATGTGATACTTTAAACAGTGACTTAAATTTGTATTTACAGTGATTTGAATCACCCTACACCCTATGTTGTAAGTTTAGCTCTATGTACCTTGGGGAGTATATGCTCTGCTGAAATGAGCAGAGACCTGGCTGGGGAGGTTGAACGCTTGATCAGGTCATCGAATGCATATATAAAAAAGAAGGTGAGTTGGTGCATATAGATCAAAATACGAATTTTGCAAGTCTTTGTTTTTCACTTTTTTCCAGGTAGTTAAGTCGCCAAAAACAGATTGTTAGTTTTGGTGTACATTTTTTTAATTAAAAATAGAATCACTACTAGGTTTGTTGAGAATTTGTGTTTTGCTTTTGAAAGATAAAACCGTACTGTTTTTTTGAATATTCACAATAATCGATAATGTGTACACATGTCTCCATACACTTCGTAAAGTTACTGTATTTTACTCTACATGTATTGTTCTACATTTTTCGAGTGGTCGTTTGTGAGCTGAACAAATATTGTATTAAGGTTTCTCTTATAGTAGTGACCTATTCATGAGCCAATTAACTGGCTCACTGACTTAAGCATTGAACTTTTGATTTGTGAATCCTTGGTTCAAACCCTACTCTAAATACTTTGGTCTTGGCTAATGGATACTTCCATAAGCCTTCATACAGTAAGTGGGGCTTGGAACCTAGGGCACAAGCATCTGTAGGGATTGGTTTGTAAACAAATGATTTACTGAGGCATTAATATTCTTCGCTTATTTTCAACAGTTATACCCACTGGAAAATGCATGATATTGAAAATTATTTGTTTTAAAACTTATGCTTTTTGATACTATTCGGTAAATGTATGCAGTAAGTACATAGGATACAAATTCAAGCAGTATACTGGTTAGTATGAGTTTCTTGAACTAAGATTGATAATTGTTGTGCTAGTTGCCATTACTTATGTTCCAAATATTTGCATAATTGTAGCCACTGTGATAAGGTACATCATGTGATTGATTCGCATTTGGAAGATGCTGATTGTAGTCACACTATTTTACTATGTTGCTTGGAAAATTGATTTTTGTTTTTATTCATACTGAATAATAACGTCAACTAGGCTTACTCCAACGTAATCGTTTGAAAGTACTAGGTTTTAGTAATTCAAATGTAATCGGTTCACTTTGATTTTTGAAATGAAAATACATATTTTTGGAATCATAAACTACTTTCGATAGGTGTTAAGACGAAAACTGGTTTAAATCCAGTTACTTGAATGTTTAGATTACTTTCCAGATATTAAGTATGTAATCAGAAACGTTGAAACTTTTTGTTTTGTACTTTGTTTCGTCAGATGAAATCACTGGTGAAACGCATTTTTGAACACTTTCATGGACAATTTGTAGATGTTTAAGATATATTTTCTGCCTAAACTCTAATTTCTAGTTCGTGATTGGTCTGCATAGATAATCTATATGATGGTGGATAGCGAAGTGGTTAAATTATACAGATATTTCTGTTTACTTGTGAATTGCCTTCAGCCTAGGTTGTCTGGGGATGGCTCTCAAAATGTAGATATGGATATTTTGATCATGATTTTATACTGTGTATGCATTGCTTAAGACTTTACGAAAGATAAGTATCTAGGAATAAGCTCTGTAAATATAATAGTAAAAAGGTCTTGATTTCATGCACTCCACCGAGGATATTGATTTCTAATGCACTTAAAGTGCCTGGTTTTGTGTGTAGGTGAGACAGAGGTCAAACAAATTTTAACCTTGATGACGTGAGTAGTTTAGTGAGCTAATTTGGTTGTGGAAGAACCAAGAGAGAAAAATGCAACACAAGCTTTTTCCTTCTAGTTTAAAAGCTCTAGTAGGATCTAGAATCGAACGCAGTACATTAATCTAAGCATAGTAAACCCGCATTTTGTATCAGAAAATGTCACGCTGTATTTGGTGAAATGAATACGGCCAGGGGTAAAATAGAATTTGCTCATGATTCTGACATATCGATTCAATGTAGTTGTATAATAACAGTTCTGAAACCTTGACCTAATGAGCAACATAGGATAAAACTAATGACCAGGTGGTTGAGTTATACTCTAATCTCATACTGTATACCAAAGATGTGACTAAAGTAGAATAATAGCGAATTATTAATACGATAACAACTATTCGATGAATGATTATACGAAGGTTACTAAATTGCTAATGAATTCTCACTAGTATGCGTAATGCTGCAATTTTTTCTACTATAGGAATCCAGTCAGTCTATACTTTCTAACTTCTAATTTCGTCGATGAGTATATGTCCTATCTTGCACTTCGATTACTTCACAGTCCACGTTTAATGTTCTGACCTTGGGGCAGATCAGATAACAAACAGGTTTAGCTAGGACTCTAGAAAACTTCACTGTTGATGCATGTTATATCGCATACAAAACGTTGGAAGTGTGTCAAATAACTCCTACAAATGTCAGGCCAAAAAGTATGCTCAGTGTGCATCTAATCTAGGAATCCTACGACGTGAAGAGATAACCTTGCTGGGATTGACGTTGCACTGATTGTTAGCGTCGAAGCTACACTAGTCAACTGAATCTCTAATAATAGTCGTTTGTGTATTGTTTGACTAGGAGGTCCGATTCAAGTAAAAAGTAACTGGCAAGTGGAATGTTGTCTCTTCGTTATTTCTGCCTATACTTAGACTGACTGTAACCTCGATGCAGTTAAAGATGAGTTATACCATCATGTGGGTTACTTCAACCAAGCTCTTGACTGATAGCGTTGGGCTACCAAGTAGGTTACTTGAGTGTGAAGACTGGGCGTATAGGCTCAGATGAGAGATTTTTAGCTAACCAATGGAGATTAGTCGGTTGCAGGTTAAACAATGAGAACCGTCTGCTGGAACTTTGTCCCACCCACATCCTGTTCCTTGCCATCATCAGCCTCTATCACGATCATTGGAGTTGTGCTATCTGGCATATCTCTGCAACTGAAGCATGAATTATATTGCTATCGGCTACCAACGATATGGTCGTATTCCAGGTTGTTGCTCCTCCTGGAGCAACTGTTTAGACTCATACTTTAGTACTTAATAAGTTCATCTTGCGTTTTGGAAGTAATTAAAATTGTCGTCCTAAACGGGTTGACGTAAATAAATTGGTTTACCCCTGTATTACCACCAAGCATTGATTCGAGCTGTATTCAAGTTCAGCTGCTGAACTTCCAGAAAGTATAAGGGAGCACTAGCTGCTCCTACGAGACATCACGAAAATAGAGTGTAAAACCGCTTCAGGCCTCAAAGATAGTCTCTCTAATAAAGACTAGGACTATGCTATCTTACAATGTGATGCTGACTGGCCATTCCAGTAGGTAGCGAGTAAAATGGTTTGCATGAAGGTCGCTAGGTCTGGTAGTCAAAGTGCGCTAAGGAAATGGAAAGAGTAGGTGTATCTGGCAGTTCATCCTAGCCACAGGCAGCACAATACCTGATCTTTAAAGCAGATGGTACGCCGATCACCAAATTTCATAGCCTTCTTGAACGCTGGTTGTAGCACTTCTAATTGCAATTCATCTGGTTTCCATCTTTAGCACCGTTAACTTCAGTGTTTAGTGCTCTGTATTCGGTGAGTACCGATACACCTAACGAGACAGAAGTCTAATAAGAAGACTGGGTATTAAGGCACCATAATCCACCGTTTCAGACAACACACTCAGCCCTAATTATGGATGAAGGTGGTGCTGCGTTCGGAAAACAGGTTGTATTGTTTGAGAAGGTATGCCAGTGTGAGCAAATTTCATCATTGTGTAATGTGCATGATAATCATCGGCATAGGAGTCTGTTGACAGTACCGTTTCAAGAATTGACTACTGTCATACTTCATAGGCTATATAAGATGTTGAAGAAATTAATCAGCGAGGGACAGACCAGGTTTCGTTCAGGTCCTGGGTGAATTGATCATATTTCCGCCCTCCCCGGATGCTCGAAAACCACCACACATTGCAGGTCGAAAATTATTGTATTCTGAAATATTAGGGTTTCCTTCGGTTCGTTGAACAGAATTGTACTCAGGAACTGTCTGTTAGATACGGGGGTCTGTGAGGTTTTTGTTTACATCTTGAAAACCCCATATTTCAACACCTCACTTAAACTGAAGTCTTGTCTCCGTTGTTCCGGATTAACAGTCTGGTTGAAAACTCGAATTTCCCGTTCTCCTTATCTATACCGTACCTACTTTTCTGGAAACAGCCTGGAAGGTACCGATGTTGGTCTAGACCTATTACTAGGTAAATGACTTTTCAACCGCGAGCATGCGAACAATACTGTAGTATGTGGGCTACTCACTCTGCATTCAAGAAGCTGGTGATCACTGTCTGTATATCGTGTGATTCACTGTCGGATTTCAAAATGCATCCACGGTATTAACAGGAAACTTCAACCACATTCACTCTCGATGATGAATCACTGAAAATTATCGAAAGATTTGTATACTTAGCCTGTTGTGTGAATACTAGTGGGGGCCTGATTGACTGCATTTCAAAAACCAGAACAGCATGTGCTATTATGAGTTAGCTTTGCCATATCCATAACGTTAGTCGTACTGTAGAAGGTCGGGAATGCAACATATCGGTGTAGGCAATTCCGCACTACGTCTACTAAGTTTAAACTCTCTGAGCTAAGGACAACTCTGTGTTTTCAATCACCGTCGTTTTCGTGGGGTTGCTTGTACATGGTGGAAACACCATGTAAGTAATCCTATGATGAGGTGGCGTTTGTTTAATAGTGATCATCATTCGTTGATTGTGGTTATCTTGGAACATCATCTCCGGTGACTCGCACATCTGTTACGATTGTTATCTTAGCGGGACTAATTGGAAGAAGCGGAGTGGTAGTGTATAACTTGGCACCATAGAGTGTAGAATAATTGTATTCAGCGGTGTTTTTAAGTGCTTTACAAGTCCCTAGTTAGGTTTGGCGAGATCCTGCAGCTCATTGGCCTAGAGCGACATCAGTTATGACTCAAAATGGAAACAAGTGGGGATCTTGTTTCAATATGGTTTTTCTATGTCATATTTTAATCCTAGTGTTAGTGTATTGTTTTGTATGATGCTTTCCTAGGTACGTATGGTATAGTAAGCTTAAAAGTAAAATAATAGCTCCACGGGTTAATTTTTCTGGTGTGGAGAAAATCTTTTGTTATTTATTATCAGCAAAATCTGTATTTGCAACTCCTGTAAATTTGTATTCTTTTTCGTATCGTTCAGAAGTTCCTCAGGTCCTTTCGGTCCATATTTCGTGTCAAATCAAGGTTTTCAGTTGGTTATGAAATATCACAAGTAGTAAATGTGGAATATTTTTCCAAATTCACTCACTTTTTATTAAAATTCGTGATTTTTACATTTATGTTTCAATTCGTCAGGCGGCATTATGTGCTTTTCAAATTATTCGAAAAGTGCCTGATCTCATGGAGATGTTTATACCTTGTACACGTTCACTTCTCACCGAAAAGAATCATGGAGTTTTGCTGGCTACTATTTGTTTGATTCAAGAAATGTGCGAACGTAGTCCGGACACACTGAGCTATTTCCGTAAGGTGAGTTCATTTAGTGTTCATACGTTCACCTTAAATTTTTCACCCAAAACACTCTTACACATACTTTGCTTGCTGTTGGTTTGCAGTCTTCATATTTTCGTTTAAAAAGTAACCTGAGTAGTTGATTTGATTGATGCAATCGAACTAATTGTGGTCGACGAAATACAGTTCAGGATTAATGCAGCATCATGGAATCAAAGAATATGTATGAATAATGGTTACTTCTTGTAACGTGTTTAACACGTTCGCCCATTATTTCAGATGCATTATTCAAGGCTATTCCTTACAGAGGTTTACCGATGATTGCACCCCACATTCGATATTTTCTAAAAATATCTGTTTCTTTTCGATATTTGGTTAATTTATTTTTTGCTTATCCTTTATCGTCGCCTTAAAAGGCATCCGGGAATTTACTGTGTGTTGTCAAACATATTTCCTACAGAAATATATGAATTCATTTAGTCACGCTTTTCACATTCTTTGCTTGTTATATATTTTCTTCACTAAAGTTTGTCAGAATACTGTTTTGGTAGTTTTATTTTGAAGGCATTTATTTCTCAGCTCTACTTTCGAGGCTCTCAAAGTTATCAGTAGGTTGACACAGTAGAGAGCCATTATCAAAGCACCTAACCTGTTTTATATTTTAGTAGATATGTTTATTTTGGTTCAGAGTTTCGTGCCTCAGCAACTATTTTTATAAATATTTAGAACGTAATTATAGTAATCAATAAGTCAAGACAAAACATGCAAGCAGATTTTATCTTATTAACTGACAATTTAGTCGGTCTACAATTTACAGTTAAATTTGATGAAATTCCAATATTTATTTTGAATCTTGTGTACTACCATTATCTCACTAATTCAGTTTACAATATTGTTTTTACTGCTTTATAATGCCGTAGCAATTAGTTCCTACATTGGTACGTACGCTGAAGAATCTCATTATGACGGGTTATTCTCCAGATCATGACGTAAATAAAATAAGCGACCCTTTTCTTCAAGTAAGTACTCATTTATTTTGTGGAATTACTGTCGTTTGAAAATTCTGGTTGAAATAGGTTTCATAGTTAGAAATTTACCTTTGTTTAAAAGCCACTGAACCTTTTTGTCCACATAACATGTGAATATTGATTTTCATGAACTTCTTTAAAGTAGATAGCAAAAATATAATTCTGTCTGAAATACTTGTGTTGGGGATGTTATATCCTACTTTTAATATAGCAATGTTGTTTATTCACCCCATGGGGGCATATGCAAGGGTTGTGTCCCCGGATTGATACCTTCATACTTTTGATTGGAGTAAACCCTTTTCACTCCAGTATTGTCTTTTGGTCAGATGAGCCGATTTTCAAGAATCGTATCGTTGATTCAGTAACTAAGTTATGCGTTCCTAATAAATCGTATTCAAGAGTCTCACCAAGTTTAACTGTGGTTAACTAAACTTCACAACATCGCCTAGGTAACTAGTTCACTAGTTACTAGCCGGTCCTAAGCCCGGATAAAGAAGGAACATTGGGCATAGGGCTAGCAACCCTACTCCGTAAAACTAATCGAATCGCTAAAGAAACTTCAAAGGAAAAAAAACTTATAAAAAATAAAAACAAACTTATTCCTCGCTAGAATCGGAGAGACGAAATGACGCTGGTTGGTGAAATTTTTCGGGAAGCCGATCGGCCGATGCGTCTACTCTCTCTCGATGAAAGCGAAAGTAAGAATGAGGACATGGAATGTCCGCACAATGTTTGAAGCTGGCTGGCAAGGCTGCCCAGATTGCCAAAGAGATGAGATATGGCATCGAAGTGCTAGGAATCTGCGAAAGTAGGTGGAATGGAAGTGGACTCTCCAGACTGTCAACTGGAGAGTCAATAATCTACTCCAATATTGTCACCCAGACGACACTCACGAGCACACTGAGTTTTGAAGTGGCTATCATGATGTCCCCAACAGCACCAAAGGATCTCTCTCATGCAGTGGGAACCAATCTCTTCCTGCAGGATCATCACAGCAATATTTAAGTCAAAAGGAAGCAAAGTCAAAGTCATACAATGCCACGCTATGCACCTACAAATAATGCAGATGAAGAGAAGAAGGAAGAATTCTACAGACAACTGCAATCAGTAATGGACAAGACTCAATCCCAGTTGGCGACATCACAATTCTAATGAGTGGGGTGACATGAATGGCAAAGTGGGAGCAGACAACACTGGAAGGGAACTCATCATGGTTCGAGAGGCACCTGGCGAAATGAGTGTGAATGGAGAAGTGTTTGCAGATTTCTGCGCCTTCATTGATCTGGTGATTTGAGGCAGTGTGTACAAACACAAGGATATTCACAAGGCAGTGACATGGATTTCACCAGACACCAGGACATACTACACTGCAAATCGAATCGACTTGATCTCGATGTGAAGAAAGTGGGGACGCAGCCCACTGGTCCCGAGATCAGATGAAGAAGGGGAGCAGATGTGGGTGGTTCACACCACTCACTCAGCATGTAGTGCAAAGAACCTACCTTCGAAATCAAGTTGAATGCCTTCAAGTTGAGGAGGTCGGTGATAGACCAGAATTCAAGTTGAACAACCACCCAGAACAGAAACTGAACTGAAGGACGAAACTACAAGGGGCATCTTCATGTCAGTCAACCATCAGGACAAAATGGGAGCTGATAGAGAGGGTAGAGGAAGAAGGAGAAGCAGAAGATGAACAAGTGCAGTGCAGTGCATGTAGTGTAGTGTAGTGTAGAGATGAATAACGAAGAGAGGAAGTGAACACAACCTATAGAACACTACACTGGACGAAGAGGTGAAGAAGAGTGCACGCAGAGACAAAAGACACTTCTACGACACACTGGCAAGTCAAGCAGAACAGGCTACAGATAAGAGAGACCTCACAACATTATATCGAGTAACCAGTAACTGTCAGGGAGGAGAGAGATCAACACAGCGTGGATGAAACCAATGAGATGGTGAATGAAGCCTAGTTATCAGAGAGAGAGAGAGAGAGAGAGAGATGGGGGGAGAGGAGAAACAAAGGAAACGACGGGCTGACCACTTCAAAAAACTCTTGAATCGACTACCACCACCATCTACAATTCGTTCAGAAATACCACCACCAGCCCAACAACAGATTTACCAGTGAACACAAGCCCTCGGACAAAGACAGAAGTGAAGTGTTGAAGGCCATCATGTTGCTGAAATCCGGCAAAGTAGGAGGACCAGATGGAAGTCTGCCAGAAGCACTGGGAACAGGCACAGAGACATCAGTACCAGACATGCTCACACCACTATTGCAGAAGGTTTGCAAGGAATGAAGGAAGGACGGACGGAAAGGTTCCTGCCAAGTGGGAGAAGGGCTACCTTGTCAAACTACCAAAGAAGGGATACCTAAGTGTTTGCAAGAACTGGTGAGGAATCAAGCTGTTGTCCCTGTCCACCCTAAATAAAATATCAGGCCACATCATCCTGGAGAGAGTGAAGGATGTTCTGCATTCGAAATTACGACCGGAACAGGCTGGCTGGCTGGCTGGTTTCAGGAAAACAAATCATTTGTGGGTTGAATTGTAACGCTACTCTATGTGCGTCATCACAGAACAGAGCATAGAATGGCAGTTCATTCTTTGCCTCTAATTCATCGATTTTGAAAGGGCCTCTGACAGCGTCGACTGAGAAGTAATTTGGCACCTGCTTCAACATTACGGTTTTAGTGCCACAAACCTTTATCAACCTCATTCAACAACTATATAAAGACGCATATGCCAAGTGATTCACAATGGAAAGCTCAGTGGCACCTTCAAAGTGAAGACGGCAGTAAGATAAGGTTGCCTACTATCACCAATGATCTACCTGATTGTGGTCGACTGAACTGGATCATGCAAAAAACTGTGAGGAGGGAGAAGATGAGGATATGCTGGTTGGACAGATGAAAAGACCCTATAAGATTTAGATTTCGCCGATGATTTATTTCTAATGTCTTATATGGCACAAACTCGAAGATCTACAGGCGAAAACTAGCAAGTTGGCAAAAGAGACAGCAAGGATGGGACTTCAGGTGAACGTAGAGAAGACAGAGGTGATGAAGATACCCAATGAACAACAGCATCAATAACAAGCACCAATTACCATGAATGGCAGAAATGTGAAGAAAGTTGTCTCTTTCATCTACCTAGGCAGCATTGTTTCAACTGCAGGCAGCGGTACAGTCACAGATGAGGATGTCAAAGCCAGGATTAGGAAAGCAAGACAGGCCTTCACTAATCTGAAACCAGTGTGGAGATCTACTGCACTGCACTGCACTCAGCATAAAGTGTGAACAAGATCCGGATTTTGAACACTAATGTCTGTGAAGTCAGTGCTTCTATATGTTTGAGAGACTTGGTGCTTTACGAAAAGCATTTGAAACAAGCTGCAGACATTCATCAACAGCTGCCGCCAACGCCCTTTCGATTGTGAAGCTCAGTGGCCTGAATAATAATAATAAGCCACAGAGAACTCTGGGTGGCTGACTGGGAACGAACTAACCAAGAACCCATCGCCCGACAAATATGCAGAAGAAAGTGGAGATTGTTGGGATTGGTCATTCACTGAGAAGACGATTCGGAGACATCACGTGACAGGTCAGGTTCTCGAATGAAATTGAAATGGGAAACGACGAGTTAGGCGTTCGAGGTTAGGGTGACATGGAGGAGATCATGTGAGGAAGAAATGAAAGCTTATGGGCAGGCATTGAGTCAGGTTCAAAAGACTGCAAAGAAGAGAGTGCAATGTAGACGTGCTACTGAAGCCCTATGTTCCACTAGGAACCGAAGAGACAAATAATAATAATAATTGAACTACACTCGTATCTTCAGCTTTACTTTCTCTTAGTACCCATTTTGATGTTAAGCATTGGTACCGCTGATATTCTGCTATTTTCTGGAAGTCAGTGATTCGAGTGATATAAAACCAAATGTGAACAAAATAAATAAATTAACCTCATTTATTTTGTTCCGCACATTTTATGAATGCGCTTGATGTCTGTGTACCTAACATGTATTTGATATTTTCACACTCACTGATTATCACTACCTCTTAGGCTGTGTAGACTTTTTGACTTGTGTTTACCTTCAACTTTTTTTCTTACTAGGAAGCGTTTTCGTTTACGTTTTTCACCCTAAATGTTCTATCGGATCAGGCTTCTATTTACGTGACAAAAATAGTTGTCATTTTGACTGAGATATCTTTGGTTTGACAGACTGATATTGATTAGAGGTAAAATGAAAATCTGGGCTTCGGCAGGATTCGAACCAGTGATCAGCAGGTTTCCTGCCCATCGCTCTACCAAAATGAGTTACGAGACAAAACTAGTTATCTCAGGGGTTGATAAGCTTTTGTGTGATGTTAGAGTTTTCAAGAAGACAAGATTTCTGTTTGATGGTTTTTATCTGGAGAGATGATTTAGTCTAGGGAATTTCAACAAAATCTTGGTGTACTATTTAGGTGAATAATTATTTCTGTTTTATCTTTCTAGATTATCTCAACCAGCTTTTTTTTCCGTATTGTAGGTTAAAATACTTAGACTTATGAGGGTTTTAGGTCATGGCGACAAAACTGCAAGTGAAGCGATGAATGATATTCTAGCACAAGTAAGTTTATATTATAAGTATTCACATTTAACATTCGCTATCGAATGTTTAAAATGATTTTCCAATGTTTATACAGTCAAAAATCACTTGAGGGTTAGTTGTTAGTTTACTGAAGTGTTAGTTTATATAACCATATATAGGTTTTATATATGGATATATGTTGTTATTCTCTCTACTGAAGAATATGAAAATTCATATTTTCCAAAAGTATGTTTTACGATAGCTTTTTTAAGTATCTATCTTCTCTCCTTTGTCAAGATATGATAGCTTATACAGTAACAGAAGTTGTATGTTCGTGTTCTACCTGGTCGACTAAATCTTTGACTGTTTTCCTTTCACTCTCATTTTTAACTTCGAACGTAATTTCTTTAATACTTAGTTTGAATGAACTGACTATTTGAAACAAAGAAGTTAATGACTCAGCAATACACCGGTTTACGTCACTGTTTCGAAACGGTTAAGCAAATCAATTTCAAGGGAGGGGAATATTAAGAAGCGGCTACGAGGGACCAGATAATAAATCAGTGAATCAATGCATCCAATTTTCTAAGGGGGTTGATTTTGGTTTTTTCTGCTGAATATCTCTCTGAATCCCTGGTCAGTTCACATGTAATCAATTTCCTCGTAAATTACTTGTTTGTCCTCGTCGAACCGCCCTGATCATATACATAGTGGATTTTGAGGTTAGGCAGTAACTAGGTTTGCGAAAATAACGATTTCAGTTAACGCTGGTTCGTAACCTCATGACTTATTTGAAAAAAATATTATTAGCAATTTTTTTGATGTAATAATTTTCTATTTGCTTACAGGTTGCAACGAACACGGAGACGAGTAAGAATGTTGGCCATGCTATTCTTTACGAAATTGTTTTGACTATCATGGGGATTGAATCAGACCCAGGACTGCGCGTATGTTTGTAGAAGTTTCGTAACTAACTCATTACAAATGTATCGTTCTTCTGTTTTTTTGGAACTAATGCATGGAGCCGTTCCATATACACAGGAATGCTTGTTTTGAACTTATTATTAGGATATACGATAGTTTGAGTTGAAAACAAAGAATCTTTTTGAAAGTGGCTGGAACTTTTATATCAGTTTTATCGTGTACTGTTAACAATTTGCAGAATGGTTTACGTTTTTTTCAGTCATTTTTCAAACCCTTATTTTTTCTCACGTGTACTGAAATTCACTAATGTAGCATTTAAGTAGATTGGATAACAGTGAGTACCCATGTTCAGTGGGAAATATGAAAGTAAGAGAAATATGACTCATGAGTTACTATTGACCAGGATTACAGTTTATACTCTACTGAAAATCGAATGTGAGTTTATTACTCAAGGTGTGATAGATACAGACTGATGTTACATATCGTAATTGTATACGGACAAGCCTTATTTCTTTTAGTAGTAGAGATTATCTTAAAACTCGTAATACATTACCCATTTATGTTCTAATATCTTTTAAGGTTCTTGCAGTTAACATATTGGGTCGATTTCTTCTGAATACGGATAAAGATATACGTTATGTGGCACTCAATACTTTGTTGCGTGTTGTTCACGCAGACTCTAAAGCCGTACAAAGACATAGATTGACAATCTTGGATTGCTTGAAAGACCCTGATATTTCGATTCAAAGGTTAGTGAACTATATAATATGAAAGTTTACTGAAATTCGGAATAGCGTATTTTTAATTTTTTTCATTTGTATCATTTACAAATTTGACGTGTTTTATAGCACTTTATTTAAATTGTCGAAAGCAGTGAGTCAGTTGGCGCAAATATTCATATTATATGCTCATTTTTTCTCTTTTCTAAGCGAGATATCCGCACCGAATCGATTTGTGATTTTTTTGAATGTGTAACTATTTAATTTCTAAAGTGTACTGGATTCAAATGATGGTTGTGCTGATGGTTAATAATGACTTATTTATATTTCACTTCTCATGTCATCATGTGTCATTTTCATTTTCTGCTATTCTTTTTGACTGGTCATCACTTCAACGCTTATTTGGTTGATACCTATGAAGCGTTGTTCACCAATATTTTTAGTGATAGCCTATGAATCCAATATATTTGTCTTGATTTAATTTCAATTTAACAGGCGCGCTATCGATTTATGCTTTGCATTAACAAACCATACAAATGTTTGTGCAATGGTCAAGGAGCTTCTGTTGTATTTAGATCGTTGTGATAGTGAATTCAAAAGTGATGTCTGTTCAAACATTTCAATTGCAGCGGAGAAATATGCTCCAAATAAGAGATGGCATACAGATACTATGATGAAATTGTTGACTACTGTGAGTTTTTAGTCTTTGCTTTTTCGACTTTAAGAACTACAGTTTTCAAACTCACGTTTTCCTAATATCACAAAGGAAATAACCCACCTCTGATGTTTATTTTGTTATCCTCCGTTATGTCTCACTGTTTTAATGTAATCAGTCTTATGCATTCTACAGGAGTGAATGTGTTGTATAACACCAAGGACTGGAGCCTTCTTAAAGTTGAGCCATCATTATACTGAACCAGTGATACCTTTTACGAACTAACGTACCAATAAAAGTCAAGTTTAAGGTTTGCGATACTGTTGCTCAGTGTCAAAGAAGTGGGATGTGGCTTGAACCTATCGTCTGATAGTGGAGATCTCGAACCCAGTGGGTGACAACTCTTGACAAGTGATTTGGATTGATTTGATGATGTATTCATTACAATACCAGTCAGGAAGTTTCTAGAGTTTTCATCCCCATACGTCCCTTTTTTACTAAAAATCTTCTATTCTGTGTAAACTTCCCTTGTTCATAATTCTGAAATTGTTGTAATTACATTTTTTTAGGCCGGTAACTTTGCACGTGACGATGTTGTCTCATCTTTGGTTAGCCTGATCTCTCAAAATCCTAATCTACACGCTTATGCCACTGTCCAGCTGTTCAGCGCTATGAAGGAAGCCATGTCACAACAGCCTTTAGTCCAGGTGCGTTGTAGTTGTTTCAAATATTTGAAGTTACCACCTTCTTTTCTGGGATTTGAGTTAAAAATTATTATCGAATACAGTTCTCTTGTGCTGTTTTTATTAATTGTCGTACTGCATTATGCGAATCAGTGCTGTATTCGAAACAGAGATATGACTAAGTGTAAGCAACTTATGCATTTTGAGATGTACTCAGTTTCTTATATTTTTGGTCGCAACTCTATGAAAGTTTGGGTAGGTGGCTAGTTTCATAACCCTTCAAACAGTGGGTGTGACTGGTTACGTAGTGCATATATTTGTATTTGGTTATTAGGTTGTTCTGTGTCATGAAATACTTCAGTTTTGTACGGTGTTCTTGAACCACATAGCTGATCGAGTTTTGAGGGCGGTTGACACTTCCCATCTGCCCACACCATGGGAGGCTGTTTCTTCTTAAGGTACCTGAAAGAGATTTGTGTGACCGTAGAGCCCATCGGACATCTACTTGAGGCCTGTCAAAACGAAACCTTTTGAGTATGGTTGTTTGAGCTTTTGTTATTTTGGGGCCAGATGGTCGAAAAGAAACGACAAACGAACCAACATCGCCGGCCCGGCAGACCGTGGGGCATGGTGGAGTGTGTTATTTTTGTGGTCAATCTCTTCTAATCCACCCCACTCCCCCCCCAGGCCTTCCATTGAGAAGGCAGCATCAGCATGGCACTGGTCATCCAAGGGAAACACCTTACTGCTGTCACACCCCATCCAACTAGCAGCAGTGTGACTTCGCCTTCAGATCCCTGTCATAGTGTGGTAATTTACACCACAACGGTAACTGCTTTTCGTCTAACCACTATCCTACAGACCCTTCCGGTATGGTAGGACCTCGAAAGAACAAGTGCTCCACCAGCATAGCTGGTTGGGTCATTGTGATACGCAAGCCCGATCACCACGTCAAGGTAGCAGCTATCGGTTGGGGTATATATATATCAAGTAGTTGGGTATCTTAAACCACCTCATGTTTATCGCACTGATAAGGATTGTTTTTTTCCAGTCTAGTCTTTTTTACAGAGTATCTTTTGACATCAGTCAGAATATTTGGGAATAATCACCATCTATTTTTTGTATCTCTTTTTTTCACTTCGATACTGAAAAGAAATTGAAATGCACCCATCAACCGTGTGCACGTCCGTGCAGTAGCCAACGAGTCACACCCATTGTGAAGGCTAGCGATACTACGTGGCTGCCCAAACATCAGAGGTAGAGTGGGGCTCGAACCCGTAACCAATTGGTTGAAAGTCACCTCCCCAAACCAGTTAGCTATAGCTTCACTTCGATACTCACTCTTAATAACCTTTGTTATGAAATTGTTCCCTCTTTTGTATTATCTATGAGTATTCACTCAATTTAATTTTTTATGTCTAAAAGATATAATTTTTATAACACATTTATTTCGATTTTACCGTTTTTATTTACAAATACTTTCTTATTGTTATTATAAACTATAAGAAATGCTTTACTAAGTAATAGTGACATGTAATAGAAGTTCACTTCCTGACACATTTATCTAAATCGATTGATGAAATCAGTGGTTGTAGGGTAGTTAAATTAGAAGCATGAGAATTTGACTACATAGTATTTCAATCATTTTGTTTTCACCTAATTTCACCAAGAAATCATTCATTTTTTAGGATAGGTCAGATGAGTTTAGTTGTATTGTATGCATTTCTATCGAGTTTCTCCATGTTTTCAAATAGCCTTTGCTTGTAACTTATGAATGGCTAACAGAAAGACCTTTTGTCGTTTTAGCGTTTTTATTTTCTCATGATAGTTTATTTTGCAATGATAGTCGCTCAGAAGATATAAAACGAATTTATTTTTTCATTTTGGGGCAATCTTTTATCTCATCAGTCTTTATCAATTACTAGATTCGTTAAATGAAACTAATTTTCCACATCGAAGTTGAATATTTTAAAACTTACTGTCTTTTTTTTTAGGTTGCTTGCTGGACAATTGGAGAGTATGGTGATCTACTTGTTTCCCCTGAACCCTCTGAGGACAATCCAACTCCAGTTACAGAAGCTGAATTGATCAGTGTACTACAACGTGCCCTTATTAGTGTAACATCCACTGTCCAGACAAAACAAATGATCATAAATGCACTTGTTAAATTAACTACTCGCTTTAGTTCAGCGCACTTAGAGTAGGCTTCAAATTTGTCTGTTTCGTATTTTTTCTACTTTTTTAATTGTGTTAAACTTGGCTTAAACACTCAAATAAAAGTCATGGATCTCTGAAAACACTGACATAGCCTTAGGATTTCTTCCGAAGGTTTTATCTTGATCTATTTTTCTTATGAAAATCATTATGTGTTGATCTGGAGTCCAAAACAGTAATAATACATTATTAAGTACGAAAATATGCAAGAATGTAAACAACCGTTTGAAATATATATCACTAGAATTTGAGTATTTTGTCGATTTAAGGATTTAATGAAAGCCACTGGATTAAGCATTCTGAATTACTAATATTTGTTTTTCTAACACCTTTTAAGGGTGCTTTGAACTAAACATGAGAGATTTCATATAAACTTTTGTCATCAATTCATATTTCCTCATTTCCATCATTAGTGTTATTTACGTCCTTCCTCACAAAATCTGTTGTTAGTTGTTAATTTCTTACCTTGTTTTTTACAGGAGACTTAAGGAGTTGATAAAGTTTTATTCTACTAATGTTAACTTGGAGCTTCAACAACGTTCTGTTGAATACAGTAAAATTTGCTGTCAGCCTACTAGTATACGTAATGGTTTACTAGATTGTATGCCAGTGGTACCGACAAAGGCTTTGTCAGGAACCTCAAATCCAGACAATGAAAGCCGAACAGTATATGAAAGTGATCCTAACGGGCTCGGAAGTGTAAATGCAAGAGATACCGAAGGTTTGTTGGTCAATGGGTCATCTACTCAAAATCAGCCACTTACCATTTTTGACTTACTGGGTCCAGAAAATGAGTCTGATTCTAAAAACGGTCAGTGTTATCTCTATTCAATGAAGTTATTATAAAATAAATCTATGGTTTATCCACTATGATAATATTCATTGATAATTACTCATTTCTTGTCGTTTGTGTAACTTGTTTCTTCCCTCATTCTACTTATTTAACAATTCGAACGACGTTATGTAAAACTGCTACATTCCTCCTTAATTTTCATCCATTTTATGCAAAGCATTCCAAAGTTAATTATCTGATCTAAGTGTTTGGTTAATTTAGTTAACTGCATTTCCAAACCCTATGTAAACACGTTTAAGACGTGCTGAAATTGTAAACTTAACTCTGATTACCCACATAATCTGTATTGACCAATGGTTGCTACTTAATTTGTTTAGTCAGTGTCCGAAATACGAAGTGTTTACGGTTAGCAGTTAACTGTCATCATATTGGTTATTTAGAGTAACCTTTGAACGTCCGTTTTAATCCATCTTTATCTAGAAATTTTTACTGGCAGGATTAGCTACGTTAATATAAGAGTAAAACCTGGGCACTGTAGTCGATTGTAATTCCATTTTAGCCTGTTTATTAGAAATTTCACACAGTGAACTACTACAGTGTTTCACTGTGTGATATTTCTAATAAACAGACTAAAATAGAATTTGCTACGGTTATTTTCACATGTAAATGTTTCTTTTCCATTGATCTTATTTTGTAGGAGCCTCGAACGCAACCGTGACCCATCCTGCGACTGGTGCTCATTTACTAGATCTTCTTGATGCGTTCGCTCCATCTGGAAATGTTGTACCCTATAACGCCCAGTGTGCATCGGGTCTTTCAAACGACTTGTTTGGTTCGACGAATGGTTTTACTACCCCTGTAATTCAACCTGCTACTCAACCATCTCTTTTGGATTTCAACTTTGCCGGGATTCACATACAAATCAGGGTTGGTCAACCTGTTTTTATCGTTTACTATTGACCAGTGATATCTTCCTTTCTAATTGCCTATTAGGCTGACCAATTTATTATTACTATTTTATTACTATTATTGGTGTACCAACCAGGTATCCCGTCAACTGGTAAACTAGGGATGATTATTGTGATATATATACGTATATTTATGTGAAGCTTGTTAACCACCATGTTGTATAAAGTGTCTTTCGAGTTACTGATATCCATGTTCTGTATATCTGATGTGTTATAGGTACTCAAGGTTTATTGCCACTTTTAGGCATCTGGCACATTTTCTGTATGTATATCTGTTTTCACTTCTCCAGTCCTTGCTCGAATTAGTAAAGCACTACGAGAAAGGTTAGGTTTTTTATATATCTGAATTAGATAGCTTTCTAACCAAATTATACAACGCATTCCATATCTTAGGTTCTGTTAACCGTATCTACTGTTTATAACCAGTTAGTAGATGTGTATCTTTTTGTGATTTCTCCACAGAAAGCTGAAAATACCATCATAGTTAGATTATTGAAGTACAGTTATTTTATACTCTAAACTCCCATATTTCTGTAGACGTTATCTCGGTAGTTTCACTACAAGTTTTATTAGGTTGTCACTCATCGCCATCTTTCTTTACTGCAGGTTGTATAGCTAAGTATCTCTGAATATCGTGAGGTAACAATTTTGTGGAGTATTTTTCAATTTGGGAATTCTACCACTAATAACTTAACAACGCTTCAATATATTAATTCACGATGGAATCTATATCTTTTATGTAATGCATCACTCCTTTTATTGCGTAGTATATTTTTGCAATTATCGCTTATTTTAGTTTTACAGATTCCTCCACTCACTATCTACAATAATAATGAAATAAAAATTGTGTTCAACTTTGAGCCTCCTTCGACTGCACCAGATGGTCGGTATAATTTGATTACAATCCAGTTGATGGCAACCAGTACAAGTCTACATCCAGTGAACTCTTTTGAATTTCAGGCCGCAGTTCCAAAATCCTGTCAGCTGCAACTTTTCCCGCCTTCCTCTAATGTCATATTATCTGGTCCCAACGCTACACCCTTAAAACAAATGTTAAAACTTAGCGTTCCTCTAAAGGTAAACTTATTATTGTGTCAGTACTTTTGTACTCTGAGGGTTATATTGTTTATTTTGAGATGATGGAGAATATTTGTAGCTCAGTAGGATAATTTTAAAGGTTTTGGGTTCTCTGAGCTGTGAAGCTTTCTTTCTGAAGTTTGTGCCGATGATGTTGTCTAGAATGACAATGAAAGCTTTACAATTAAACCATCCAACTCAGAGAACACAACGCCATCAAAATAATTATATGATTGATCATCTTCAGTATTCATCAGTCGTTTGCTGGTTGCATGAAATGTTAGTATCATTGTCTTCATTAAAGGCTTGAAAACAGGTGTGAAAACAAATTTCGATCCGACACTTTTTAAAGTGTTAATTCTATAGAACAAACTGATTTTTCTGCTGAACATTGGTACTTTTGGTGAATTACCAAGAAATTACGGCTTCCTGTTATCCACTATTAATAAGTGTCATATGGATTTCTCTTATCTAACCTATACATATCGACCTTTTTGCTGCATATAATAGTGGCATCCGGTATTTAAAAAGTCAAGGAAGTTTCTTAAATTCACTGATTCTACTTCAACTTCATATTGCCATCAACTAAAGATATGTTCAACTACCTTTGGATGTGATTAACATGTATTGTTTATCGGTCTTCTGTTATCCATTACTTCGTTCTAGGTGGCTGGGAGCGATAATCAGTTTCTTCTATTAAGGGATACGCAGAACTCATGATATTGAACTTCTTATTTAATATTACGAGGGATGGAAAGATATTACGTATAGCACAATCAATCTTTAAGCATCTGGATATTAAACTCATTTCATTCCATGGAATCCATTTCTCTCTATCAACTATGAGTTTCATATCATCATAATGTTTTTTAAATAAGAGAGATGTGGATCCAGTTATAAATTGATAGGTATATTGTACTGTCGGTTAAGTATTCCCCTTGCATTCTTATCATGAACATCTATTTAGGCAATGAAATCTGTTGCTCAAATTTTTTGTTTGATTTAATTATTCTTTCTTTTTTTTATGGTTATTTTCTTGACTATGGTTTCGGTTGCTCTTCTATTTTTTAGGTTCGCCCACGTATGAAAATTCGTTTACAGTTTCTGAAGAATGGTGAAACGAAAAGTGAGGAACTGCAAGTCGATGAATTTCCATCCGTGCTCTGGCAGCACTGAATTGCGCAAACACATTCCGTAAATTTTTTCGAATCTAACCCACAACACTTTTTGGGATTAGTGAAGTTCTGGCTGTGCTTAATTATGTACGGATGCGCATACTCTAAATTTTTCTTTTGTCTGTATTAAATGCTGTGTATACTCAAAACTTTTATTTGTACTGCCTTAGTGCCTCCATTTATCTTCTTTCTTACTTATCTTGTTACTATCTCTCACCAGTTTTTCTTCACATCATATGTGATCCTGATTAACGTATATTGCTTTCAAGGTAATGACCACTGAAGTCAACAATGGTTGTTCCATGTTGTTTTTGTCAACAGTGATGAGTCGCCTAGTTTCTTTTATCTTTGATGTATTTCTTATTTATTTTCAGTGCAGAGGCACCTTGTCTATTTGACTCTTATGCGAACGTTCTTATCACATTTTACGGGTAATTTCGCTCAATATTTTTAAATTTGTATTGGCAAGTTGGACGTCTGTAGAAAGATTGTCTCAACATTCGTATTTAAATCGAAAGTAGACTGAATTGTTGCTACGGTTCCAACAATCTAAACCGGTCGTTTGATGATTGTGTTTGTGGAACTGTTGTTTTTATTCTTACGCAAACCACATTATTTCGTTAATTATCAGTCAGCCATTTTTTCGCCAAAACTGGCTGTGTCTTATGACAGTTTTTATCTTGGAGAATGGGAATGGACCTTTGTCTATAATATAGTTTTGCAGCACCATATTGTGTATGATACAACTGTGTTCTGTTATTGAATATTCAATTGTTTGCAAAAAGCTTTTATATAATTCAATAGTCAAATTTTAGGTAGGATTCATGATCTCTTATTTAGGTACTGAATTCAATTCATATTACTGATTAGTTGGTTTGCATAGAATAATGGATTCTGGCTGGTTTGATTTTACTCTTCATTGTACACGTTATTTGTGTTTTCTCTTTCTATTTGAGTGATTCAGATAGATGATATTGTAATATTTTTAAGCATTCAGCTCATTTAGGCCTACAGACACCTGAATATTGTTTGAGTTAACGCCTATGTTCTGATGGTTTTAATACTGCACTATCCTTTTCATATCCAAAGAATTTTATTACCTTTATTTATTCGTGATTCTGTTCTTTATGTGCATCTACTTTCTTGGTGTCAGCTTACCTAATAAGTGGTTTTTAATGAAAACTCATGACCTTTTGATTTTCGAGCTCAAGACACAAAAAAGGATAACTGAAGAAGTGTAAAGCGATTTAGAATGAGTAACAGAAAGTGTAGAATCTTCACTTCCCGCATGCAAATAATCAATCGCCCTGTCGTTTAATGGTTCCGGTAGCTTTTGTTTTGGTAATTTACTGTCATAGTTTAAACAAACTGTTATAATCAAGTGTCACCTTCATTGAGTCTCACTTGTTTATACATAAAGTGTAATTTAAGGGAATGTTTTGCGTTTCCATTATCTATATTAATATCTATGTAAGAAACAAATGTCCATTGGCTATACCAAGCATTCTCAACATTGACAGATATGTCAGTTAACGTGACATTACTAGATGGTGGGTGGAAAAGGCTCATAAGATTGTACAGGAAGTGGGGCAAATTATTTGTATTACAAAACTACTTTGACAGGATAATGTCTTTTTTATTGAAACTCATTTTTACCCATCTTTTTTCTCCCTTTTGAGTGCATTGCTGGAGTATGCTCCTGACAGCAGATCGCTATGGGTCTAGGTAGTCAGCTAATTCTTACTACACAGTTACAAAGTGTAGCGAATTTCAAATTTACTAGCTAGCGACTGCCTGAATAAATCAACGAGAACCTCACACACAGGTGTATCAGCTCAAGTTGCCACAGTTTACAGTAGTACAAAATGAACAAGTGGATAGAAAAAGACTGATATCAAAGCAGATAAAGTGGTGTGAGAGAAAAAATAATCTGAAGATGAAGGTTAGTGCAAATATCCAAGTTTTAGAAGATGTCAAGGAGTTAATATATCTGCACCAATGTAACCGATTTCCAGCCATGTCACCAATAATCCCCAAGAATCCTCAACCACTGATTCCTTTCATCTCGGAGACCCTGATTAGACAGTCTACAATGCCCCACACAACTGAGGCCAACAGTTAGGGATTTCATCGACTGATCCCACGTCTTGATCTAGACACCCTGAACCCTCTTCTAACCTAATCCAACTCCCTCTAGCATGGCATGTCGAGGTAGGCGGTGACTCAGCATGCACAGTACGTGTCCAGGCTATCCCAATCGACTTAAGTTCACAACTTCATCAATCAACTTGTCTTGTAACATTCGCCCCACAACAACATTCTTCACACTGTGATTCCATCAGATGTGAGCAATGCTACGAAGACATCTGTGATCGAAACCCTGTGATCGCTTCATGTCTTCTGCTTTTAACAACCACGTCTCATAGTCGTTCAACAGGACAGAACGAAATGCGGTGCAGTGTACTCGTCCTTTGATGGAGAGTCGTCAGCTATCTCGCCAGTGACACAGTCGACGCAAGTTGGCAAATGCCGAACGAGCCTTCTGTATCCGAGCTGAAGTTTTGTCAGCAACCACCCGGTTTGGCGAGCTGATGCAGCTCTCTGAGCAAGTGAAGTGGTCGACACATTTCACTCCCTCACTAAACTGGGAGTGTTTGTAGCATACCAGTCCTGGAGAATCATCTTACATTTGTCAGGCGCCAGCGAGACGCACGCCAAACATACTCAGATTTCTGTTCAACGCATCCACAAGACCCAACATTTCGTCAGCGTCTTCACCTAACAGGACAACATCGTCTGAATACTACAAGTCAACCAGATGACCTTCAGGTAGGGGAGTGGGCCAATCTCAGGCGGACACCACAAGTTACCACCAATTCACACGAAAACTCTCAATAAGCTCTTACACGGTTGCGTGAGTTCGAATGAAGAGCTCTGATTAGCGTTATATACTTCTTGGGTGCTCAATTCACCAATAGATACCACCATAAGAACTCACGATTGACAGAGTTAAATGACCCCTTCAGGTCAAGAAATATGGCAGGTGTAGGCCACTGGTCGATAGGTATGCCTATGTTCCAGAACCTGTCGGAGGGTAAAACTATGGTCGATCCTCCCTCGTCCAGCTATGTCTCAAACCTATATGCTTTTCAACATTTTGTTGTTCTCAAGTAGCAATTTGGTGGAGCCTAATATTTTGCACATAGTATTAGACAAACTACATCTTCTATGGTTGTCACAAGATGACTTCTCTCCAGAGTCAGCTGGAAACAGTCTTCTTGTGGACGCGATGTGAGACAGTATCTCTTACGCTTGAAGTCAGTAATTGTAACAGGCAACCACTTGGTGGTTCGTAGACACGAGATTCTGTCAGTACTCCCAGCATACATTTTCGATTGGCTAATCTATACTACTCTTATGAATACATCTAAAAAGTTGATCCTATGTAGCGAAAATAACAGCTTTTCATAGAGTCCGAACTACAATCAGTGGGTTCGCAGGCATAGATTACAAACAAGCATCGGTTGGTCGCACGATCTCTCTTTGACCTTACAGGTCCATTCGGTCGAACAACACAGAGACGACTGTTAACTGGTATCCAGTCGAGAAGCGCACTATCTGCTCTACAACTTAAGGCTATGCCGACACCAGCTTACCCACGACAACTACCCACTGGATCTCCAGATATTCGTAAGGTGGATCTTGAAGATTCTCAGAACTGGTCAGATGATGTCAATTTAATAGCCACACTCGGGTCTTGTATACGTGTCTCAGAGACACAGTACACATCCGTGGCTAGAGATTCCATAGTTTTTGTGAGTGATGCTTGCTGTTTGGTTTGGCATAGAGTAAGAATGTTGAAAGCTCCTACATGAAGTCGATGGCGAGGTCTTAGGAGACTAGGAATGAAGTATCGATGGCTTTGATCGTTGACAATGGTTGTAGAGTGAGAGGTTGGGGAAGGCGTAAGTAGCTTAGTATTAGTATCGGGAGGTGAAGGCAAAGAAGGAGACAGAGTTGAGGGGGATAAGTTGTGTTTGATTGGGTCTTGTGTACCACTAAAAGCGTGCGTGTAGTTGACATTTGCCAGCTGCCCACACTTTGAAAGACTATTTCTTCTCAAAGCACTTGAAAGAGAAAACGATCTGTGTGACCATAGAGTCAATGAGACATCTGCTTGAGGCCTGTTGCAAGTGGTCTTTGGCGGGATGTTGTTTTGAGGTTTGAGTGTTCAACTGTGGGATAGAGGGAATATATACCTCCGGTTTCGGAGGACAATGGAGCAGGTAAAGTGTTTTATTTTTGAAGACGACGTTTTCTTACTCCCCATCTTCCGTTGAGAATGCAGCATCACCGTGTCACTGCTGGTCAGCCAAGGGAAACACCTTACTGCTGTCACCCTATCCTCAGACCCTCATCATAGCATAGTCATTTACACCACAACGGTAATTGCTTTTCGTCTTACCATATTCGATTTGTTTGTTGAATATAGTGAACAAAGCTGGCATGGAATTACATCCTACGTGTTCAAGCTTTACTCGCGTACAAACCAGATGGGATAGTGTTATGGTGTGCAACAAAACTATCCCGATTCTCCAAAGAAAACTTAAATCCCTGAGGCATTTCACAACCAACCACTGTGCTTCAAAGTTTAGAGAAAAGGCATGTGATCATGTGTGTAAATATCAGATTTGTTGAAGCGATTTAATGAATAGAGAATGTTCTTCTAGGAGAGTCTAGAAATAGCTAGTCCATTGTATATATATATAGCCAAGTTATAACATCAACCAGTCAATCCACCTGAAAATGACCGCTAGTTCGCAGGCAATTTTCCTGTAATGTATTGAGTATATTAGGTTGACAATCAAACAATGGGTGAACTACTGCACTTGTTCGTCTATGCATGTTTCGTATGCGCGCAAGACGTCTATGGCTCGAGAGTCTGAAATTTTGATAGTGAAGTTCTCCGGTCGATTTCATGGGGGGTGGGTTGGGGTGCAC